ACACATATTTTTTCTTTTCTCTTTTTTTTGGCGGGGTGGGGGGGTGCACATCTGGCTATGCTCAGGGCTTACTCCTGGCTCTGCTTTCAGAAATCACTTGTGGTAGTGATCGGGAAACTATCTGGGATGTCAGGGATTGGCGTGCAAGGAAAGTAATATATCTATGGCCCCAGAACTATATTTTAACAGCCTTTGGTCTCATTATTTTGACTTACACACATTTAGCTTTTTACTGTTCTTTGGGCTGGAGCGATAGCACAGCGGGTAGGGCGTTCACCTTACACGCGGCCAACATGGCCGACCCGAGTTCGATTCCTCCGCCCCTCTGTTCTCTGGGCTGGAGCGATAGCACAGCGGGTAGGGCGTTCACCTTACACGCGGCCAACATGGCCGACCCGAGTTCGATTCCTCCGCCCCTCTCGGAGAGCCCGGCAAGCTACCGAGAGTATTCGATATGCCAGACACAGTAACAACAAAGTCTCCAATGGAGACGTTACTGGGCCCGCTCGAGCAAATCGACGATCAACGGGAGGGCCTTTACTGTTCTTTGAATACACTGTTCTTTCAGATTCAAGGTACTTGCTCTGTGTTTACCTGGAATGCTTGTCTTTGACCCTTCCGGTTTGTGAACCTATTCCTCTTTCCCTTTCCCTTCAGGCAAAAGGAGGTGTGACTTTTTAGTACATGTTATATTGTCTCTTCCTGGAGCTCTTAGAGGACATCTCTTTGACATACATAGTACAATGCCCAGCATAAAATAACTGCAGAATAAAGATGATAAGAATGAAAGTAATATGGAAAGTGTTTATGTATTCAGGTATGGTAATTGGCCAGTGCTCAGGTCAAAAGCAGAGTCCTGGATTGTGGGAATCTACTGCGAGTCATCTAATTGGTAGGGTTGATGCCATTGAAGTTTAGAATTTGGGTTTCGAAAGCATATGCAGGGCCAAGAAGATGGCTCAAGTGTTAGAGCACATGCTTGGCATATGTGAACATTCTGAATTTGACCCTCAATATTTCACCCACACCCAGCACCTCCGGAGTCGCCCTAGTGGCCCGTGAGCAATTAGACTTGAACCGTGGAGGCAGAGCATCTCAGTGAGCGAGCGGTTCCCTTACTCCAGCACTGTTATGTGTGGTCTCTAAAGAAAACATGTGCAAAACCTTTTGTCCATGTATGTGAACATTATTTAATTTTTCTTCTGTTTGCCAGGGATTGAGTACAGGGCCTCACAGTTGGACGACAAGTGCTGTACCACTGAACCACATTCACAATCTTGAAAATACTATTTAGGCATTTAAATCTGAGATTGGAATTCTCTTTGGGGACCACACTTGGGTTTTCTTGCGGGGTATTGATGTCTTGGTCTTTGGTGGTCATTTCTAGTGATACTCATGGTATGCAGTGCTGGGGATTGAACCTAGGCCCAGGTCTCCTGCACACAAAGTGTGCATTCAGCCCCAGTATGGCTCTAACCCCTGAAACAGACATTCTTTTCTCGGGATTTATTCATCTCTCCCCCATTCCTCTATTTTGGGACATTTGTGGTGCTTGGGGGCCACTCATTGCTTGGTGTTTGGGGTTGCAACTAGAGGTGGTTAGGGAACTACAGGGATATTGGAGATCTGACATGGCCTCCGGCATTCAAAGTTGGCACTTTAGCCTTTTGAACTCTCTCCCACGTTTGTTATGCAGAAACTTCAAGTGACAGTAGCACTGGACTGTAGCACTGTGGAGCAAATTGTTCATCGATTTGCTTGAGCGAGCACCAGTAACGTCTCCATTGTGAGACTTGTTACTGTTTTTGGCATATCCAGTATGCCATGGGGAGCTTGCCAGGCTCTGCCATGCAGGCTGGATACTCTTGGTAGCTTGCCGGGCTCTCTGAGAGGGACGGAGAAATCGAACCCAAGTGACAGTAAAGGAATATATTCTTTCTGTTATCTTTTTTCTTTTGAATACTTATTATGTACTTTATTATGTTGAGGAAAATCAATAGAAGTTAAATGCTTCAATCTTTTTCCTCCAAATGAAAATTTATTAATAATTCCATGATTTGCTGTTGACTCCCCCCTTTGTTTTTGAATGACACTTTTGTAATGATGAGGGATTTTTTTGTCTTTTTATTTACAAAATAATAGGTGTCCATTGTAATAAACATTAAAAAAAGTTTATTTTTGGCCACCCAGTGGTACTCAGAGTTTACTCCTGACTGCACACAGGGATAACTAAAGGTGGTGCTGAGGAGATCATGAGGGATGCTGGAGATTAATCCCAGATCAGTCTAGTATAAGGCAGTGCCCTACCTGCTGTACTGTTGCTCCAGCCCCTAAGTAAGACATTCTTTAATAAAGCACTTTGTTTTCGTCAACCCTTTCATTATTACAATCATTTTACTAGGCTATTGTGTAAATTTCATTATTTCTCTCCATCTTGGTCAAATATTATATGCTAACATAAATGTGCATATGGAAATTTTTTTGTTTTCACAAAAAAAGATACATATAATTGTAATTTTATCTTGTTATTTTAAGTATTCCTATTGTGTCTCATAGTGTGGATATACTATACAATATTTAGCTATTTTCTTATGGACATTGTTTCCATATTTTGCCACTACAAAGTGATACAGTAAATATCTTTATAGACATTACCCTATTTGTTCCTGATGATTGTATTTCTGCAGATTAGTGTTTATAAGGTAGGGTTTCTAGGTTAAAGGAAATATATATATATATATAATTTTTTCTTTTTGGGTTATACCTGGCAATGCACAGGGGTTACTTCTGGCTCTGCACTCAGGAATTACTCCTGGCGGTGCTCAGGGGACCATATGGGATGCTGGGAATTGAACCCGGGCCGGCCGCATTCAAGGCAAACGCCTTACCCGCTGTACTGTTGCTCCAAAGAAAATATATTTTAAATGTTATTGTTGCCAGGTTACTTTTTAAATAGGTTGTTGTTGACTATCTAATGACAATAATAATAATTCCTGCACTCAGGAATTACTCCAGCCACTGCTCGGGGGACCATATGGGATGCCGGGGATTGTGTACTACCATTCCAGCCCCATTATAAGTTTTTTTTTTAATCTTGTAGGAACATCTTATAGCCTATTAATTCAGATAAATACACAGAGGTATTTATCTGGAGTTAACCATCCAATCTTGTGAATTAGGGAGGTCTGAATTTTCTTTGTATGATAAGTTAGCTATGCCAGAGTTAAATAAAATCATACTTTCTCTTATCTCAAAACTTCCGAAATATATTTTTATTCTATTTCTGGTGTTCTCTTTCTCTCTTATTTTGAGGAAAACTTTATAGAAAAGTAACTTTTATGAAGAAAAACTTCAAGGAAAGTTATTTAAATTTTTTGTTTACTTTAAACACTTTAAACACTTATTATCATTGTATATTATATATGTTTTGGTGGTGGGGATTGAACCCAGGACCTTATACCTGTCAAACATGGACTCTATCAAGTGAGCCCTGTCCCCAGTCCAAAGCATTTATTCTTTTATCTTTATTGATTGAAAATAATTCTGTTGAGTTCAGAAAACCTCAAAAGAGCCTATTGCTTGAATTTGCACTGTATTCATGTATTAATTTTGGGATGCCTGACTTTTTCAATACTGTGGTGACTTATCATTTATCAGTGTCCTAGTTTTAGGTCCTTAGTAAAAGTTATACGAATGTAACTTTGTTTCTAGTTTCTTTTCTTTCTCTTTGTGAGCAACACCCGCTGGTGCTCAGGGCTGGGCTTCTGGCTCTGCACTCAGGAGTCACTCCTGGCAGTGCTCAGGAATCACCTACTGTATTATTGCTCTGGCCCTGCCTAGGTATTGCTTTTGGTGGGCTGTGGTCGGTAGGTCTCCAGAACAGTGTTGCTCCGGGGCCACTCTGGGGGTGAGTGTGCTAGAGCCTGGCAGGCCTGGGGCACCTTCAGGAGCCCTCTGGCAGAACTCAGAGAGCACTGTGGTGCTGGAGATCAGACTGGGGTTCTTACACATGTAGGACATGTGCTCCTCCACTTTGAGCTCTTTCCCTGGTCCCTATTTTATAGATTTTTTTTTCTTTTGGGTCACACCTGGCAATACTTAGTGATTACTCCTGGCTCTGGACTCAGGAATCACTCCTCTGTGCTCAGGGGCCACAGGGAATGCCAGAGATTGAATCTTTGTTGGCTGCATGCAGGGCAAACACCTTACCACTATACTATTGCTCTGGCCCCATTTTAGTTTTGACGCCATTGAAGTGGAACTTTCCCAATCCCTGTCTAATGGTAGAAATGAGTTAAAAATGAATCTTTACTTTTCTAAGGACTCTGTTTCTTAGTATTCAACATTAACAAAACTTGGCTTTACGAAGGATATAATAAGAGAAAAATTTGTCCCTTTCTCCTTCCATTAGATCATCTATTTATGGCTTGTCACTTCCTTGTCGATGCTGTTGGATGCCCGGGGTCACATTTATGCCTGGTTGTGGTGTGCACCAAGGGTCGTGCATCTGGTTTTTGTGCTCAGATACTTGACTGTGGTGCTTGTGCACTTGGCTAGCTGCTTGCACGCCTGCTTGCCTGGGGTTTTAACACCTGTAAAATGGCACATTCTGGTTGTGTTCACCAGGGGTTGGTGTGGTATTCACACACGTCTTTACCAGAGGTGCACTTGCCTGGCTGTGGTGAGTGAACATCCTTTACTTATGACACAGTTGGAAATCACATGATGCACCTGGGGTCCCAGATGTCAGAGCTGACAGGCTCACACAGCAGAGGTGTTGGGACCATGCTTAGGCTATTAAGAGACACCAAGGGCCCTGGACCCCTGTATTAAATCACTTAACCCCATCCTCCCTGTTCTGCTTCCTTTTGTTGTTGTTGATACAGTAACTAAGATTTTGAAGGGCCAGAGAGATAGTACGGTAGGCAGGGCACTTACTTACCTTGGTCACAGTTGACTCGGGTTCAGTCCTCAGCACCACATATAGCACCCTTGAACACCGCCAGGAGTGATCCCTGAGTGCAAAGCTAGGAGTAAGTCCGGAGCATTGCCAGGTGTGACCCTTGGCCCCTTCCCCCCACAACCAAAACCCCTCAAACAAAATAAATTCTTTTTTGGAGGGATTTTGGGGTAATATATAGATAGTTCAGCAGTTAGAGCTCATGCCTCACATGCATCCAAACTGATTTTGAACTGGTCCCCTGAGCATCTCCAGATGGCGGTCATAGAGGCTACTGGATAGTGCTGGAAATGACCCTGGAGGCCTTTTGTACTGTTGGGAGGCCTGGGAACCCCTGGTCCTAGGATCCAAGCAGCATTGTATCTTTGGGCCCTTGCATTGAGCTACTGGCTTGGTTAGCTGAGAATCACCAATGGAATTCTTGGGCCTCCTGAGCATTGCTTGGGAGATTCCCTGCCTTCTCCTTCCACCCCCCCCCACCCCCACCCCAAAGCAACAACAACAGATCCCCTGCCCTCATACTGGGGAGGTAGCTCAGATAGTAGACACCTGGCTGGCATCAGCCCTGAGTCTGATCCTGTTGCAGGCACCTCCGAGCCATTGGACTGCCCAGTGCTGTGCCTTGCCCCATGCTGCCTAGCACCATATCTCAAGTTCTGTTTTAAGAATTTTTGTGGCAATTTATAATTGTGATGCCTCTGAATGCTTTAGCTAATAATACTAGAATTGGAAGAGCGCAAAATTGCTTTTGATTTTATTAGTGTCAAATTAGATGCTGATCAATATTTATTTGGTCTTTTTTGCTTTTTGTTCAATTTAATGCAATTGAATTATTCAGTAGGCACATTTGCATTTATATACATCTGTCTGGTTTTTAAACCTCAGATTTGGTCACTTTTGGCTATGGATAGTTAGACAAAAAGGAATATTCTTCTGGCATCCTGTCCCCCCCTCCTTCCTTTGTTGATATAACTGGTGCTTGGGCATAATTAATTGTGGTGCTTGGTTGTGTTCTCTGGGGGTTGACCATCTGGTTGTGGTGCTTGCACATGTCCACGATAGTTGCCACTGGTCACATACTTTAGTTTTAGTAAGTGCACTTGTGCTTGCTAAGGGTTGTGCTCTTCGGTTGTGTTTGTTTCTTTTTCTTTTTTGGCTTTTTAGGACACCCCATGATGCACAGTGGTTATTCCTGGCTGTGCCTCAGGAATTATTCCTGGTGGTGCTTAGGGGACCATATGGGATGCTGGGAATTGAACCCCGGTTGGCTGCATGCAAGGCAAAAGCCCTACCCACCATAGTATCACTCTGGCCCTCTTCAGTTCTGTTTCTTGCACACATTGGAGTATGCTGGAGATGGCACATTTTGTTGTGGTGCCAGAGATCCCAGAGTTGCTGGGATCATGCCTGGTGCATGAGGGTTGTAGCTGGGGTGCCTCACATATGCAGGGCATGTGCCTTTGCCACTGAGCTATCACTGGACACCACTGCCGCTCCCACTCTTAACAGCGTTCTAAAGAAGATACCTACGTTTTAGGGGGAGAAAGTGCTAAACACCTCTTTAGAAGGATATCAGTTGATTGCCCGGATAGGGCATGGTGATATCTGGCTGTATCACGCTTTTGACAGCCTCCTTTAGTTTTGAAATTTGTTTTAGTAGTTCTAGGGATGATGCAGCTTCATCAAACTCTTATGTATAAGTGAGAATAACTGTTATTCACAAGAGATTATTCTTTTATACTGTTTTTTATTTATTTATTTTTGTGTATGTGTAGGTACTTGGGAGGCAAGGTACCTGTCCATTCTGTTGAGTTTTTGTTAATCAGAAAGTTGCACTATGAGCTTGAAACAAGAGCATATGAAGTTGGGATGTCTTGAGTGTTTCTTCTAGGCCATGGTGAAACCTGATGAATTAATTGTCTCTTGGGGCCAAAGCAGTAGTGTAGCAGGTAGGACAGTTGCCTTGCATGTGGCCAACGTGAGTTTCATCCCTGACATCCCTAATGGTCTCCTGAGCACCTTCAGAAATTATTCTTGAGTTCAGAGTCAGGAGTAAGTCCTGAGCACTGCCAGCCCCTGCCCCCCCCCCCCCAAGAAAAAAACAAAACAAAACAAAAAAGAACTGCCCCTGTCCCTACAGTGGTATCTGCCTTTTCAATGACTAAAATTCTTTTTTTTTCCATTTTTTATAATTTATTTATTGAATCACCATGAGAGCAGTTACAAAGCTTTCGGGTCTAAGTCTAGGTCATACAACGAAATACCCTTACTTTCACCAGTGCCCATTCTCTACCACCAAAAAACCCAGTATACCCCCATCCCACACTCTCCCCCTACCTGTGGGGCAGATGATTACCACATTACTCTCTTCTCTACTTTGATCACATTCAATATTTCGACACCAGACTCACCATTATTATTTGAAATTTTACCCCAACACTCAGATCTGCTGAAAAGGCAACAGTAGACAATTTGTGTTCTATTGCTGGTTATGAGTAACATACGATGTCACGTGGCTGCAGTAGGGCTGCGCGATTTTGAAATTCCGAAATTTTAACACTTAAATCTGGAGGGATTTCTGCCAAAAGCCACTGGGTTTTGAGATTTGCTCCTGAATCTCTGGGATCATGGCCATTGAGCAGCTTGATCAGGAGCCAGAGAGGCCATTCATGGGCGATGACTTGGGGTCTCCTTGGGACGGGGAGACCAGGACTGGCTCCACCCCTGTGAGGCCCAACAAGTTTCGTCACTGCGGGCCCAGACCTGACTGTCCAGTAGCCTCTGGAGGATGATGGCCACTGAGCCGCCAAGGGGGAGCAGGCAGAGGGACAACACCCTTTCCTCCCTGGGGTGGCCCAGTGACAGTAATCTACTGCGTGGTCTGTATGCATTTCTGCCAAAAGCCGCTGGGTTTCGAGATTTGTTTCTGAGTCTCTCGGATCAAGGCCGTTAAGCAGCTTGATCAGGAGCCAGAGAGGCCGTTCGTGGGTGATGACTTGGGGTCTTGTTGGGGTGGGGAGGACAGGCCCGGCTCCCCCCTACCCCCATCCCCTGAGGCCCAACAAGTTTTGTCACTGCGGGCCCAAGCCTGACTGTCCAATGGCCTCTGGAAGATGATGGCCACCGAGCTGCCAAGGGGGAGCAGGCGGAGGGACAACACCCTTTCCTCCCTGGGGTAGCCAGGCAACAGTAACGTACTGTGGGGTCTGGACGCATTTCTGCCAAAAGCCACTGGGCTTTGAGATTTGTTTCTGAGTCTCTGGGTTCATGGCCGTTAAGCAGCTTGATCAGGAGCCAGAGAGGCCATTCATGGGCGATGACTTGGGTTCTCATTGTGGTGGGGAGGACAGGCCCGGCTCCACCCCCATCCCGTGAGGCCCTGTGTGTCTCGTCACTGGGGGCCCAAACCTGACTGTCCAGTGGCCTCTGAAGGAGGCGGTCACTGGGCTGCGGGGAGGGGGGGATGGGAACAGGCCAAGGCATGAAACCTATTCCCACCTGCGTCGGCCCAGCACCGGTAACCTACTGCAGGGATCGGACGCATTTCTGCCAAAAGCCACTGGGTTTCGAGATTTGTTTCTGAGTCTCTGGGATCATGGCCATTAAGCAGTTCAATCAGGAACCAGAGAGGCCATGCCTCCAATGATATAGCCGAGCTGGAGGTGGTTTGTGGGTGTGTTTCCCACATACCTAACTTTTGGCCGTTTACTTTCTTGGTAAACTTTGCCCCAGGTTTTTGGGGTCTGGCCAAAGGCACAGCAGCAATTTTGGGTTATCTGGAAGTCTGAAGGCGCCACCAGGCTGCTGATGCACTCACCTCACAGCTACAGATTGACCTGCTGGCGGCACCATACCCCCTTCAATGACTAAAATTCTTATTCCAGTTTTAATCTCTTGTTCAAATAGTTAAATATTAATACTGTTTCCCCCCCCCCCCCCCCGTCCGTCTTTTAAAATACCTCCCTGCTATGAAGACATTCCTTCAGGCAGGGGAAATAGATATACACTGTCACTCCTTCCTCCTCTTTCTCGTGCCTAAAAAAGGAAACCCACAGAAACTCACGGGTAGTGAAAACCCCCAGTAAGTCATATTAATGGCAGTTGGTACCTGTAAGGATATCAGAAAATAAAGTTTGAAGCATAAACTACTGATTTTTTATTTCACTGTTTCCAGCAGTATTTTGCAAGTTTTAAGTGCGCTAAAGCAATTCAGATAAACATTAAATTGACATCTGATACAGGGATTCCATGTGGAAGTTTAAGTATGGAAATTGGCAACAGGCTATGAAGAATGCTAGAGAAAAAGCACAGTGTATTCTTTGTTTTGTTTCTGGACCACACCTAGTGGGTTAACTAAGGGGTTATTCCTGGCTCTGTGCTCAGGAATTACTCCTGGCAGGCTGGGGGTACCATATGGGTTGCTGGGATTTGAATCCCGATCAGCTGCATACTATCTACCTGCTGTACTGTCGCTGCAGCCCCGGCACAGTAACTTCTTTTGGAGGATTTTGCCTAATGTTGACCTAAAGCCCTTAAATACTGTAGTCATACTTAAAAATCTGTGGCTGGATATTACATAATCATCAGTGTCAAAGTTAGTTAACCCTTAACTTCCTGCATCTTTTCTGTTCGGTGAGAAAAATTTTATAGTTTTTGTGTTGTCTAGAAAAGAAGGTAATTTTGGGCTGGAGCGAGCTCAAAGGACCCATGCTTTGAATTTTGGAGGCCAGGGAGACGTGGGCACCATGTAGTCCCTTAGTCCTGCACCGGGAGTAGCCACTGAGCACTGCAGTTGTGTGGCCCCGAAACAGACAAAAACCAGAACATCTCATTTTCTTTGTAGAGGAGGAGGAGGATTGGGCCTCATCTGGAAGTGCTCCAGGGCTATTCCTGGCTCTAGTCCGGGGCTCAGTGACCCCTGGCAGTGCCTGATTAGGGGACCATATGTGGGCCAGGGTTTCTAACCAGGATCAGCCTCCTGCAAGGCAAGCTCTTTAACCCCTGTCTGTCTCTTTGGATCCTCTTCTGGATCCTTTCCTTTTAATTTATGATTTATTTTTTGAATTTTGGTGT